GTGGAAAGAAGCCAAAAACCTTTCTTAGATTTTCTTTTTAAATTGTATTCATTTATTTTTATATGCATAGGTGCTTTGCTTACATATATATCTATGTACCATATGAATGTCTAGTGCCTACAGAAGCCAGAAGAAGGCACTGGATCCCCTGGAACTAGAGCTACAGATGGTTATCAGCTACCACCCAAATGCCTGGGAACTGAACCCAGGTCCTCTGGAAAAGCAGCAAGTGCTCTTAACTGCTGAGCTGTCTTGACAGCCCTTAGATTTATCATCATCATCATCATGTGTATATTTGTGTGTGGATAGGTAGAAATGGGCACAGGTATTCCAATAGGCCAGAGGCATTGGATTTTCCTGGAGCTAAAGGTACAGGTAAGTATGAGCCCCCTGACATGAGTGCTGGGAAGCAAACTGTGGTCTTCTACAAGAACAGTTTGTACTCTTAACTACTCTATCATCTCTCCAGTCCCAAGGCTAAATTCCTACCCCAGTTCTGAGTTAATGTTTTTACAATTACCATGTGTAAATACCTCCTATGTTAGACAAACAAAAATACCTATGCACATAATTACATGCACATATAATTAAAAATAATAAAAGCAAATCTAAATGCATTAGCATAGAACTGTCATAGGCACAAAGAGGAAACAACCTAAATTTTCATCAAAAGCAAAATGATAAATAATTTCTATAGCATATCCATAGAAAGGAATATAACACACAAGGTTAAAAAACTGAACCCATGTTCCTAAACAAAAAAAGCCCTCCAAGTCATGTTAATAGAGGTAAGCTGATGAACAGTAATACATAATACATGTGACATGACCTAAGTAAGTCACAGAAAACAAGCCACCATATGCATTTTCACAAAGCAATGCATACATCACAGTGACCTACCTCACCATCATAGCTTGACTCCTGCAAGTGCAGAGAGCCTTTTCCATAGTAAACAGTATGTTACATATGGCATATCCGTCTACTCACTGACCCCATGCAGAAAGCACGTTGGATATTAGACACCTTTTCACTGATGAGGAAGCTAGGATATTGGAAGTGAAGTCTCTGCTCAACATCTCAATCTGGGGATTATGAACTAAATGTATTCATGTTCATGCTCTGGCTCAAGGGTTGATCATGTTACCCAAACAAGGCCACACAACATCTTTCCTGAGACTGTATGAACCAAAATGTGGCCAGCATCTCTACCTCATGAGCAGGGTCTGGTCTAGAATGAAGGCAAAGCATATGGGAACAGAGCCCTGACAAGAGCTTCCAAGTCCTAGACTCAGCTGTACCTGAAGCTGAACCCGCCTTCTGGCTATCAGATATAGAAAGTGTTATTTTAAGGCCTTTAACACATGCAAACAAAAAAATCTTGACTGCTAAAGGTATACGCCCTGCCCGAGTCCCCTTACATACTTTGGAGAAGGCTCCTTCTCTTTGATGCTGTTGGCTGTCTCCTTCTCCGGCTTCTTTGCTTTACCCTCTTTTGTGGGCTGGAAAAATGACCTGGAGGAGTACAAGGGGAAGAGACATTAATAGCACCGATGCCCCGGCCACCTAGGCCCACCTGCAGCTCCAGACACCCATCCCCAGCCACGCAGATTGCTCTACTTTTGTATAGCCTTAAGCTGGGGTACATACACCAGGGATGTGGCTTAGTGGTAGAAGGCTTCCCTGGCCTCTAGGTAAAGGGCAAGAAAAGAAAAGAAGAGAAAGCATTTGAATAAAGAGCTGTCATCCCAGGACAGACCAAACCCAGGTTTCCTATCCCATGAGTAAGCAGGGATTTGTGCCTCCTGGGTTTCTACAGGGGAAGTCCAGGTCTCTGACGTACCACCCCCCCCCGGGCTTCTCTCAGTACAGGACAGGAGTGGCCTACACTTACACCTATGACACATGGACACATGACTTAGGCCTCACCAATTAATAGGTGTACCGCACACCTACAGTTCAGCATGCGTTTGTCCCAAGCCAAGATTTGACTCTGGATATTGCTGGGTTAGAAAGGAAAGATTGCTGATCTTGGGAGGAGAGCCAGCCTGAGGCAGACGACATCAAAGGTAACAGAGCTGACCAGAGACAGACCATGACAACATTTCGGTTGCTGCATCAGCCCAGCCTGAAGTTGCACACTGCAACTATGGAAACCAAGTATGTTTCTCTCTCATGTTCCTAAAGGCACCTTGCATTAGTAGAGGGTTCTGAACTGGCACTGAGGCGGTACTATGCACTGAAAAAGGTTTGGTGCATGCCTAACTTTTGCTCACTTAGATATCAAAAGCAAATCCCAGATCCCTACATCGTCAAAACCAAAACCATCTCCAGACACTGCCAGGAGGCAAAACTAAGAGCCACTACACTAGGGACCAGTACCCTGCCACTAAAGTTAATCAACAGGCTGACTGGTTCATTACTTTCTCCCATGTCCCACTTCCCACTCTCCAGACTACTCGGTGCTAGGAAATTTCAACTTGAAGTCTCACTGTAGGTCATCTCAGAAAATGCAGATTTGAAGCAAAAAGCCCAGAGTTTAGAAAGCATATTACGTAGACACAACCTCTTGCAGGGAAGAGGAAGCTCAGAAAGTTACAAGACTCACAAGCCCCTCCCCTAAGGTTTATATATTCAACAATTGCTTGGGGGGGGGGGGCTTTGTGTTGCCAACTTTCTTATAAGTGACATCAATAAACTCACTGGTCCACTAAGCTAAACTGTGGTGGAATCCTTTCTTTGTTTGGCTGGTCAGTGTGGTGCCCTATCTGCAGTTAATGAATGTTCGTTCTCATTTTCCCAGGAAAAGTCACAACCCAAAGTGCCTGGAGCGTGGCAGGGACCTTACATAATACTTCTCTGCATGGTGGTGGCAGAGTTCTCCCCTTTCCTCTCTTGCTCTTTTTTTCTCATTAGTTGTACCTGAAAAACAAATGCAGAGACCTGCTAAGGAGACTGGCTGTGAGAGTGGGGGAAATAAAAAACAAATGCAATCAGGGGCTGCAGAGATAGCTCAGTGGGTAAGAGTTTGCTATAAAAGCAAGAGGATATACGTTTGAATCCCAACATCAATGTTAAAAAAAGACAACAGAGAGAGGCATGGCTGTACATGCCTGTAAATCCAGTACTGTGGGGTGGACACAAGGAGAGAAAGGCAGATCCCAGAAGCTCACTGGCCAAACAGACAGGCTGGTCAGAACAGTGACCTTCAGTAAGGCAGAGTAATATATGCACACATGGGCCTGGATTACCTCCCATACACTCACGTGCATTACCAAACACATCACATACATAACCCCTGGTACATACATACATATACACACACCAGGAAATAGCTGAACAATCAGAAATATGCATTTCCTCTTCAGAAAACAACACCCAATTTTATAAACCAATATGAAACTTTTAATTAAGATTTACTATTAAGGTATAAAAATCTCCAAATCAGCAAAAGGGGAAGTGTCCTTTCCCATATGGTGCCTGCTTTCCATCTAATATGAAAAATTCACTGAGTATGTAGATTTTTTTTCAAGTTTTTATTCTTTGAAAGTTAAATTTCTTCATTCTCCCCCACCTTTCCCCCCCACCACACACACCGTATGGTACTGGGGATAGAATCCAGGCAGGGTCTGGTGCTCCCAGGCAAGCAAGCACTCTTTGGCTGCCTGCCAGCTTCCCTTTCCAAACGCCCCTCCTCACCTTGACAATCTCCTTCTGCTCTTGCTATCCAAGTTTCTCAGCCTCCCCAACTCCACACACACTAAGCCACAAGCTCTGACCCACCCCTAAGTGTTTCCAGGCCTCACCTCCAGATCTCGGGTCTTGTGCTACCCATGCCCAGGCCTGTGTCCCTCCCTCCCTGGCAGCCTACCACCTCCCCTATTACCTGACTCTTGACACTCATCATGCCAAGCTTCTCTCGCCTTCAGCCAGGAACTCTGCCTGGCCAGTGACGTCGCGTGGCTCTCACACTACCCAAGAATCCGCCCGGCCCAATCACCCCTAGCATCCCACACTGATTGACAGCTGGCGTCCAGTGTCAAGTAACACTGCACACTTAAATCTTCCCTCCGGGGCCAGGCAGCCCCGCCCCACCGGACGCGTCCAATCCCAGTGGCCACGCCCACCCGCGGGTTTCTCCCGGGCCCCGCCCCTTCATCAAGGCCTCCTCCCGGTGCCGGCGGACGCGGCACTCCTAGCCCGCTGCGGCCCGCGTCCACCAGCAGAGCCGGCAGCTCTCCTTCCAACCCAGCTCCCCGCTGCCCTCGCCCCGCACGCTCGGCCGCCGCGATGTCCCCACGCTCGCTCCGCCGCCCACACCCGGAACCCGGCGAGGTGCACCGGCAACAAGCGCTCGGGACGCTCGCCGCCCCCAGCCCCAGCCACACTCACGCTCCCACGGCCCCACTTGCCTCTCGAGCCACCTCACCGGTCGCTGCGCTTGCTTGCTTGCTTGCTTGCTCGGCGACGCGCGCCCGAAAGCCCTAAATTCGCGCCACACGGATTTCGCGCGCAGACTTTGGCGGGCGGGCGGGGTTGAGGGTGGAGACGGCTGTGGGCGGGGCCGGGCGCTCCGGGCGCCGCCATTGTCGCCCGGAGGCTGCTGGGAGTTGTAGTCTGCGGAGCGTGAGGCTGCCTGGAAATGGGACGGAGTGAGGAGGGGAGGGGCGCTGCCCCGCACAGCATGCTGGGACGCGGCCCGGAGCCTGTCCTCCCCGTGGATGAGCCGGTGAGGCTGCGAGGTCGCAAGGGTGACAGACAGCAGGGGAGAGGAAAAGGGTTGGGGAGAAGCCGCTCTGCCAGGCGCTGCGGGAAGAAAGGCGGGAGACCGCGCGGGGCATCCCGGGAGCAAGGGCCGGGCCGGGCTTGGGCGCGGGGCATTGTGGGAGGTGGACGCTGCTCCGGGTTGGGTAGGTGAGTTGAGGGGGAGGGGGCGGGAAGGGTGCACAGCTTGGGGAGTGGAGAAGCGCCGCTGTGTAGGGTGGTCAGGCCGGGCGGGTCTG